CACACACACACACACACACACACACACACACACACACACACACACACACATATATTAGGGTAGTTAAACATACCTCAAGTGTAAAATACAAAAACAGCTCAACTTCACATCTTTTACCAGTCTAACATAAACCTCATTAGTGTTAGTGAACTGATTTTATTTACAGCGATTTGTATTCCTTCAACAGTGCTTCAACATTTCTGATTTAAAGACAATCTAATCATGTATTGATTGCTTTTGGTCAACATTTCTTGAGTTAGCCTGCCACCTTTTGGAAAACATAGGATCATTTAATATCCATAAGAACTACTGAGGAAAGTCTGATTATTTAGACGGTAAGGGTCTAATTAGTCCCACAAGCATTCATTAAAATGTGTCTGCTGTTAATTTAGTACTAAAATGGAACAGAGTTTAACATTAGATGTTCTATTGTTGTCAGAAATCGACAATATCTAGTTATTTAGTTTATAAAGACATTAACAGATAATAGAGTAATATTATGTTAATTACAGAAAGTAATGTAGTGTCACTAATCTTGTAAACTAAATCATCCTGTGATTTAGTTGTTTAGCGTCAGGTCAATTTTCAAGCTTGGGAGCATACTGCTCTCTAATGGTCATTATAGAGAACTGCATAGGGTCTGATGCAGTGTATAAATGTATGTCAATGGGTATTTCTTCTTGTAACAAGAAGTTTATCAGCATGAGTGTTTCATACGTCAAAGAGGAGAAGAAAAAGAAAAAAAATACTAATGTTTCTGTTTCATCCATGTAAAAACTCCCAGGTGTTAAGTAAAAATGCTGTTTTTATGTTCATAAATGAGTGGATATTTCTTTTTAGGTAAAAAAAAAAACAACCCAAAAAACAAACATTAGTAATGTAAGCAAATTAAAGACAAACTGAATTTTAAGATTTTAAGGTCTTTTGCAGCAGCATTCACCATACTCTGTAAATGTATTTTATTTACTCAACATTTATGTTCTGTTAATCCAGTATTTAACATGTTACTGCGACAAGTCTAGTATATAAACATACAGTATTTAAAAATATCAATACTTTAACACAAATATTCACTTTATATGTTATATATTAAATATAATTAATAATTAATATAATTATTTACAACAACAAAAAGCTTATTTTTCTTCTTTTTTAAGTCTAGGTAAGTCTTTTGAAATCAGTTGCAGTAGTAGTGAATTTCTTGACCATGAACATGGCAGCTGGCTACAATAATGGTTTACATTTTTGCCTTACAAGTCAAATATCCCCAGTCTGATGCTTGGAGAAGACGCAGATCCCTCTGTGGCTGCGTCACAAAGGGCATCGTAAAAAAACATTCCCAGCGTAAACACGTGGAACCATCTGCTGTGGCGATCCCTTATATATCTAGTTATTTTTTCCTACTATGAAAATACTTTAATACAATTCTCAGAATGTTTAATAAGAATAAAATTCAAGGTACTGTCGCTGAGTAGCCACATTTTCCTTCTTTAAAAGATCAAAAGAAATTTTGCTCGATAAATTATTGCCTTAAAATACAGGCCACTGCTTTGAAGGTATTTACCTTCAAATCATGAACGTGATAACTAATCTTAACTGTAGCTTTCAGTCTTTGACAAATATTTGACTAACAGATATCACTGGTGAACGTTTCTAGGTTACTTACATAAAGAACAATTTTTTCATTGCAAGTTTTCTGAAATGCATGTTTAAATATGCAAACGAGGTAGTAAGCATCCCATCATGCGTGTCTGCACAATTCTTGGTATGAAAGAAAAAGCCTTAACAAGATGCATTTTTTCCTTTAATTTTATTGAACACAAAATTTCCGGCAGAATGCAAGGTCAGAATGTTCTTTTTGCCTCAGTTAGTATTCGGTATTTACAATTGCGACAGTGGGCAGACAGACAGAAGAGTGGCAGCCTACAGATTTTTTTTTACCTGCAGCATAGAGCTGATGTTTACACACACACGCACACAAAGCATAAGAAAAAAAAAAGAATAGGGAGCTCTGGATCAAAGAGAGTGACCAGTGTTGGCAGTGGAAGCTGAAGGCTCCTGTCTGACTGAATAGGAAGAAGTTTGGGGTTCGACATTTGTGTGCAGGGGATTTATTCTATTCTCTGTGAGATAGAGAACCTTGAAAGGATGCTTTTCATCTTTTTGAAAACCTGAAAAACTCCTCGAGTAGAACTAGATGTCTTTATTCTTACTGAATCAAGTGGTGGAGTCAAAGGAAAAATCCAAGGCTGCTTCTGTGTCGTTCTTGTATTTTTGAGGCTTTGAACAAAGGCCTCTGGCTCACCCGATGTGACTTCACAAATGAATTTTAGGAGGTGTGACTGGAGTGGAAAAAGTTTTCATGTACAATACTTTCACAGGGGAAACAGTGAGGTTTGGTCATGAGACCACACCCTTTTAAAAAAAATACAATTCAAAGCTGTGCAAGGAAATCACGTTTCTTTTGAAGCAAAATTGCGCAAACAGGACAAAGTTACACAACACAGGGTCAATACAATTCATTAAGCCATAAATAGTTTTTACATAGCAAAAGTGATTACGTAGTAGTAGCCTTCTAATATATGTTGCATGCTTGCTTTAGACAAATGTGTTTCAAATATTATAGAGAATGTGAGACCTGAGCGTCAATGTGCCTTGTACTCCAATGTCAGTGTTTTCGAAACATCTTTGTAATATGGTGCAAGTTTTCAGGGATTGCAGCTCAGTTTGCCCCCCCTAGTTCAGTTTATTAGTTATGACAAGAGGTTAATTATAAAGATCTACACCACGTGTGTATTTAGGCATTTGAAATTTCCATTTATTATGACAGAAGTGATGACCAAACATAAATACTGTATACAAGACCAAATTATAATAAACCAGAATTCTCCTTCAGCAAGGACACTGCAAGCACTCATAATAACACAATGATACAGCCATTTAAGACTTATATGAGACAACAAAGCTCGGCTTAATTAACAAATCAAATGCAGTAAATGAAAAAGCAAATCAGCAGGGAAATGGAGATGTGAAATGTTTAATGCAGACACTGAAAGAAACTGATCGCATGCCAACATTTTCATATTTAAAGGCACTGTGTCTTTCCAGTTTGCTGCTGTCAGACTTCTGTACATCGGTGTTGCTAATTCTGTCGCATACTATCAGCTACATGTTTCACAAGCTATTTCAACTCTATGACAAAGGACTCAATGGCTTCACACATTCAGTGTACTAGCTTGCAGCCTAAAGTAGGAGGAACACTGTACAAAAAAGGTCACACATAGTCTCATTACCTTTCAAATCCATAGCAGTGTGGAAAAAAATGTTTTCGGTGAACTTCTAAACATATGACGAGATCTTTCATTTCCAAGGATACGTTTAATTCCTGCTTAAAAGAGGCCAAGTTCGTTAAGATTTGCTGAAAAGGTTAGAGTGTACATTCATTTCAAGTCACTAATCCAGGTTTTTAATCACATTTTTCTTTAGAAATCCTTATGGTCTGTGACAGGTTGGATATTTTTATTGGTTTAAAAAAAATCTGTGAATTTAGGGGTTTTCAGACCCACTGCTGCAGATGTATAAAATCAAGCATCTTGGCCACAAAGTCTGGTTTTAGAAACATTTGTGAAAAAATGGGTCGTTCTAAAGCGCTCACTCAATTTGAACGTGGTACTGTAATAGGATGCCACCGTTGCAACATGTCAGTTTGCGAAATTTCTTCCCTTTCCCCCAATGAGCTGTAAGTGGTATTACAAAGTGGAAAGGTTTAGCAACCACAGCCACTCAGCCATGACTTGGCAGACCCTATGAAGTTATAGAGCAGAGTGGCTGAGTGCTGAGACGCATAGAGTGTAAATGCTGCCAATGCTCTGCTGACTCAATAACTGCAGAATTTAAAACCTCCTCTGGCATTAACGCAAAATTTGTGCACCGGGAGCTTTATGGTATGGGTTTCTATGCACAAGCAGCTTATGTCTTTGTACTGCACATGCTCACAAATTTCCGTAATGATCAGAGAATGATTGATATTAGGTTTCCTAATAGAAAGAAGCAGTTACAATTACAGACTGGTTACACAAAAAGCTCAAGATGATCACTTAACCAACTCATCTACAAACTTTCGGACATTTTTAATAAAGTTTCCAGCAACTAGACTTTGTTGGTAAATGCAGTGGTAACACAAGCTCACTCTGAGTGCAGCTGTGGTGCAAGTGTAAAAACAACAGCTGAGACGATTAGACGGTTAAATCACTGACAGGTAAGCGAATCTAAACAAGCTGAGCTTTTGAATCTCCCGGTGAGTGATGGAGGTTAGCCCAGTCAAGACAAATCGGTGTCAAATATTCAACAACCCTAAGCTAAAGTTCAAACAAACAAACTGAACTGAACACATCTGGCCTCTGATTCACATTTAAGCCCAAAGCTGTCATGTAAACAGCTGGTCAAAAATGCTTAAAGGAGACCTCTAGAAGGGGACTTTGAGGTGACAGCATGTGAGAGAAAAGGAGGCAAAGGTAAATTTCCTCCATTAATCTAAAAACGTTAATGGGTTTGTGTTGTTATATACCACTTCCAAGGTAAACTCACAAGGACTAAAAGTAATGGTTTGCTGTAGTCAAACAGTGAGACCAAAAATTATACACAGGAAGTTGCATTATTTTCAATGTAAGGTAGAGAGCAGACAGTGTCAAATATTAGTTGCAGATCTATCTATATAGCTTAATTTACCGAAGTACTACCCAGAAGAAATAGTGGCAAAAGTCAGATTTCCATTATTTACATCCTGTAGCATCCCATTTTATTGGTCCCATTTATTTAATATATAATCAATGATCAATCCGTCTATTACATTTGGTCACATGTTAACTTGCTTGAGCTGGTGAAGAGCAAAAACAGTATTAATAAATGACTAGTGGGTTTTAGGATACTGATGATATCGAGTATGCAACAGAAGTTTTCACCAAATTCAGACAAAAATAAGGTAGCAATTCTTCTTTGAAACAAGACTTCATCCAGCCTTGAAAGCTGGACTTTAAGAGATGTAATCACTGCAAAGAAACACATTTGTACTCTTCTGTATTCTTCACTGTCACTACTTAATTTAAACCCAACTTGTCTCCTGAAACTTAAGTTTATATACACTTAATAAGCAACTTAATAATAGGCTGCACAAATACATTCAGTCAAAATGTATGCATGATCACCTTCTCTGTGTTTTACCCCAAACGTGTTGATGCGTGTAATTCAAATAATGCACTGTTTATAGACTTGCCCTTAACTCGGAGCAAATCTATAAAATAATTTGTAAGCATGCATTAGCTACGTGTCTTGTAAAAAACCATTAGATTGCTGTATATAAATGTCATTTTTAGGACAACAGGGTTGAAACCAATTAATAGTAGTACTTATAGCATGATACATTTTTCACTGGTGTTTTCTTTCATTTATCATGGCTTAGGATACATCTGGACCAGAAACACACAGAGACAACAAAAAAAAAGTCTGAATATGAACCAAATGACAGCAACACATACAGAAATACAGTAAACTTGCAAAATCAGGCATGCTAATGTTCTAATCTCTAGCACTGGAAATAACACATAAAAAAAAAAGCTAAATAGGCAGTTTATCTGCATATTATTCAAACACAAAAAATATCGACAGAAGAAAAAAAAAGACCCATTTTTTCATAATGCATTACCATGATGATGACCATACTGCATAAAGAATAGTAGTATCGGTAATGTACATGACTTACATGTGTGTACATCATGAAGGCAGTAATCAGTGAAGTAAAGCTACAGTCCAACCATGTTTATCTACAGGAAAATGTCGATTCTTCTCCGCTGATCAATTTAATATTAAGTCAAAGAAAGAAGGTGAATTACAAGAGATCTTTTTTTTTTCTGTGACAAATAAACAGGTAAACCTATGTAAAGGAACTAAGGCAAGTGCATGAGGTCTTTACATATTCCTGGTCAGAAGACACTGCAGAAAGAGAAAGAGACCAATGGTTTTCTTTTTTCTAATTTTTTTTTTTCAGTTGCTTCTTGTTGGTTTTTCTAATGCAACGGGGTGGTGTGTGAAATTGCTTTGAGGTTTCAGTGACTGTGACCAACCCCTTTTAACCTTAAAACCCAACAACCCAAACCCTCCCAACCCTACGTGCCCTCTTCTTCCTGCTGCTCACGGCCAAGAAGATTACGCTTTACTTTCGTTGCCATTCATCTGAGGAGCCTCGTTGGGAACTGTCTTCACTTCGGCTGTGGCATTCTTCACCTCCGCCTCGCCTTTAGTGCTATCATCCTTCACAGTCTTACCACTACAGGCACAAACGTAAGAATGAGAGAGACACAGAAAGACAAAAAGAGAGGAGATTCTGTTAGCAGCAAATCACTAAGTCTCTCTTTCACAGCTAAACGGTCTGTTCTGAGCTGCCTTTTGTATCATTTTTCAAAGAAAGAAGGGAGGGGGAAATTGGGGGAAAACATGCAAGATGCTTTGAGGGAATTTGTTTTCCCTCCTGGAACTGAATGCATTTCACACATAATGGGATCAAGCTCACTATCCTAGCCAGACATCAAATAAGAGTACATGGATGTCACAGCTACTTTCAAGGAACAATGAATGCTGATGTGGAATGAGACAGGGCTGGTACAGTAGGCACAATGGATGAGGGAATGAAAGACTGAGGCATAACCTACAACACAAACTACAATTCACAAGAGGATTACATGCCATCTGGACTGAGCTGAGATACAATGGAAAGAGACTTTTGGGCCATACATCATTTAAGTTGAAAACTTTCTGGTGTTCTGGCTCGGATTTTTCTTTTTTAAGGGCATTGCTTTTATGTCTTCTGTACCATGCTCCTACTGTGCCTTAGAAAAATAAGGCAGGGACAGTGCAATATATAAGATCTGTAAATATATCTAAACCTGACCGCCTTCTTAGATCTCATCTTATAAATTTTTGGTGTCAACTCCTTTAAATATGGTGTATTTATTCATACAAACTGTAAAGCTCCACTAGCATCCCCCAGTGGCTGAACTGCTTATTACATTACACAATTAAGTTTTTGCTGAGCAGTCACTCAGAATGTACAAAAAGGTAAACATAGCCTGTATCCTCTTGGGCTAATAAATGCTGTCAGCAGGATGTGAGATTATGAAAAAAAAAAAAGTTTGCAGACTTGACACTTTTCTCCCCCCAGTGTTCCAAGAAGGAGAACTTTTTTAATGTAATAATATAAATGCACATTACAGGAATTTACATTTTATTTGTGTCCTGGGGGGATGACCAAAAGCTTCAGGGAAATGTTCAGTTTAAATTCATGTTACTGTTAGTTTTCAAGAGTTATGGGGATGGGAAACTGTGAATGGTGCAGATGAGGCTGTTGGATGCTTTGAGTTCTTTTGGCTCAGGTTCAACAGTCTTAAACTGCACTGGAATTTTTCTTTTAGCTATTTTTGCAATTCAATTTTTTAACTGAATTGCAACAGTTTATAAATTTTTTTTCGGTCTGTTAGAAAAAAAGTCAGCTGGACGTTGCTTTAAACCCTCTCTGGAGCTCTCTTCACTGAGTCAGTGTCCGATTGAAGTTCGGTCCTGTTTTCTGTCTCTCTTTATCCCTGGGCATCTTTTTATGATTCATTCAGTTGTTCCATTTTTGTTACCAATGAAAATATACAGACAACTCCTGGAGAACAAAAAGCATCTTTTCTTGTTTGTGTTTGTGGAATCAAGACTTATTTTCCCCCAAAGAGATTTATTATGTTGTAGAAGCCAGAACTGCATTGTGAAATCAATTTATAAAGTATTTTCCCCTTCCCGAGTTTTCATTTTCTTGCACAGTTCTCGCACTTACATGCACATCAAAAACCTAAAACCAAAACATAATATTAGACAAAGACAACCTGAGTAAGTCCAGGATATAGTATTTTAATGATGCTTTCATGTATTATCTTGTTTTATGTGAAAAAGACAAATTTTGGCCCTTTGTTAAATCCTGAATTAACTTTGATTAAATACATTTTTTTCACTAGCTACAGTTCAATTTCACTAGCTACACCCAGGAAAGATTACTGCCAGACCTGTTGAATCCAGCGTGTCTGTGTGACTGTGTCTTAAAAAATAAGGTCGGCTAAAAAAAAATCTCAAAAGGCAACACCTCATGCCACAATCTAAAGAAAAACAGCTGAGAAACAAAGTCATTGACATCTATCGGTTTGGAAAGGGTTAAAAAGCCATTTCTAAGGTTTTGGGACTCCAGAGAACCACAGTGAGAGCCATTGTCCACAATGGAGACAACATAACAGAATCCCAGGACTGGCTGGACAACCAAAATAGGGTCACAAAAGAACCCAGAATAACAGGGAAGCAGGGGGGCTAGGACTAGGAGGAGGAGTTGGCCGTCCGACTGCGGTCTGGAGTGTGGAGCCTTCCTGCTGCTGTGGAGTCGGGGCGGTCTGCCTCCCCCCACCGCAGGGAAAAGGGAAACACCACCTGGGTCTGGGTGCAGTTCCCCCCTCCAGGGGCGGGGGCACCTAGACCCGGTTTGTAGAGTACGCTTGGGGAGTGTGATCGTGTGTACAACGTCTCTTTATGTCTGTCTCCACGTTGGTTGAGTGTGGAGTAAGTGCATATGAGAGCATGAGGGTGGGAATGGATGTTTGTATCTGTGTGTGCCTGTATGTCTGTGTCTATATGTCAGGTTGGGTGTCAGGCGCCACCTCTCTGGGGACATCTCAGGCCCTCCAAGGTTTGGAGGCCTATCTCCCCCTACCACCACTTCCCCTGCCAGTGGCGGACCCCCTCAGACATCGGTGCGTTGGTGGTTCTTTGTGTCCGGGGATGGGCGTCCAGGTACACACCGGCTCACTCCTTGGCAGCCGCTTATCGGGGCCTGGAGCCTGGGGCTCGCTCGGGCCACTTCGGAGGTGGGGTGCCCCCGGCCTCTCGGCCTGGGGCTCGGTCACTCAGGCGCAGCTGGCTGCCGGCGGAGCTCACGGGTGCGTCACTGCAACTCCCCCTGGCTTCTGCTCCGCGGCTGCTGAGTGAGCCCTCATCTGGGACTCTCCTCAGCTCTTTCCGGGACAGTGGCGCAGCTGCCCCTCTGTCTGCCTATCCCAGCTGTCATAGTGCGAGAGGTAGGGTACACCCTGAATGGGTCGCCAGTCTGTCGCAGGGCTAATACATAAACAGAGACAACCAGTCGCACTCACATTCACCCCCCCATTCACACCTATGGGCAATTTAGTGTTTCCAAGTAACCTAACCCCACTGACTGCATGTCTTTGGACTGTGGGAGGAAGCCGGAGTACCCGGGGAGAACCCACGCAAACACGGGGAGAACATGCAAACTCTGGGTTATCTTTGTCAAATATCAAAATGTATTTGATTTTAAATATGTGACAAATATGTAAAAAAAGAAGAAATCAGGAAGGGGGAAATACTTTTTCACTGCACTATACAGGTTTGCGTTGTGCAATTAACTATATAAAAAGTTTAAACAACGATGTATTTTCTGCCATCTATTTCCACATTTTCACTATACTAATATTCCACACAGAGCTGCAGTCCATTGTTTGACATTAGCACTGTACTGTTGCTCATTCAAAATTCTGCCTATCCTATTAGAATGACCAATTAACCTAACAAGTGTGTCTTTAGACTCTGGGAGGAAGCCGGAGTATCCAGAGAGAACCCACGTGGGGACGGGGACAACAGGCTTGACATGCCAGCTGGGGTAATTGAACCCAGGACCTTCCTGGTAACAGGCGACAATGCTAACCACTTAAACCCTCTCTTCTATAATCAACTTGCTTCAACTTTTGACCTTTACGCAGTAGAATTCACATCTGTGAGTCATTTATGCAGTTACTCCAGTTTCAAGTTACTCTCAACTTCACTGAGAACCAAATTACTGATCATTGTGAGTCTAACTGTATTTCAAGCACGTGCAAGCTTCTAAAGAGCTATGCAGGGTATTAGTCACTTTTTAAAATCATTCTTACATCATCAGAAACAATTCACAAGTGCACAATTGTATTGGCTGTTGAGTCAAGGTCACATTAGACACATCATTAGATCAATGTTAAAGATACATTTAAAATCTAGGAATAATAATGAGTGTAAAACATCTATTAATAATGAATTCTTAAAGGTACATATTCTATAGTCTGCTCTTATTTCGTCTCTTCTGTTAAAATAAGTCCAGAGGAGGGCTCTACCGCTCAGATATCCAATAAACCCACAAGAAGTCTGACAAGACATTTTAGTGTTGGGATGCTGAAGAAGGATCACCACATAGATCAGTGGGAGAGCTGTGCTTCAGTCCTGTCAGAGTTATGAAGAAAAATCCCCCTGATGACAAGTTTGGTTTTATCAAGGTGATGTTGAGCTGACAAGAGCCCTGCTTCCAACTACCTCTCAACTCCCCATACTTCATCACTGACATCTTCCTCTGGCCATCCAAGTGAGTAAAGTATGAGATGAAGAAGGCAGAGAAAGAGGAGTGGCTGTCAGTAAGCCTCTGTAATTTATCTTCTGCAGCTTCCTCGCCATACTCAGACTGTCAGAAAAATCAGGAAAATCTGCAAACTCGTAGGGCCAAAACTCCAAATAATAACCTGTCATACCGCCACTGAAACGACAGCTTCTACAAGAATTGAGACAGAAAACAGAAGTGTCTGGGAGAAATTTGAGGGACTGACAGTTTTCTTTTGGCCTTCACCATCTATTATCTTATCACAATGAAGAGGACAGAGCACAGTAAAGCTGCTGCTTGGTGAATTTTTTAATTTACTTCAGCGATTTTCAACTGAAAATTCTTCTGCCGAGTTCACTACACGAAGATTTCTTATGGCGCAGCAGGACTTGAACCCCAGCTATGGCAAACTAAGCACCATTAAGTGTATCACTTACAGTCTATTAATTGCACCTAGCTTAGGTTGTAGTCTCTGGCATTCACTTACTGCTGCTTGTTTTAAGAGGTCAATTAAAAACTACTTACAAAGACTGACATGTGATATATGATTTTAACACCGTAGGGATGAATTTAAAGCTTTTGATCATATTTTTCTGTTGCTTATGATAAAACAAGCACTCAGGGCTAGATTTAGAGTCCCGATATTTGCACAAAACTAAGGAAACAATTAAATCCTGTTTTAAACTGAGTCTAGCACTCGTAAGTTGGTACTTGTAAGTCTTTTTCACTCAAACTTGCATTTTGCTGTTTCACAAATGGCTTTAGAGCAAAGAAAACCTTTTAATTTAAAAATATAAACTTTTTAAAGAAATTTTAAATACTGTGATTTTACAGATTTTGCAATATGTTTACATCATCAGCTAATTTAATTTAAGTTGTAATCTTCTGTACATGAAAAAGAATTAGATGTAAGTTCCAGCCTTGATCTTGTTTGATTCCATTTCACCCATGTTGAGTGCACGGCTTCTCAGCTTTTACGAAGAAGCCAAAAACCAGAACACTAAGGAGTGGGAAACTCATGTGCATGCAGCTTAAAGCAGGAAAGACGTGTGCCTACAATGCTCAAGTAAATTTAACCATCTAACCCATTTACCATCATCCAGCTATGAATGTTTCAAATACCTGCAGTCGGCACCAATAAAAATAAAAGCCCGGTTTAATGAACTGATTAAAATGATTGAATATATTTTTTGTATATTAGGACAGTGGGTATTGCTAGATGCCCCAGAAGGTGAACAAAATGCATCATTCTCCTACAATCTGCCCATGATGATGAGGAATATGAGATGGCTTAGATGTATGGTAGGAGAAAATCTGTCTCTACTATGTGAATAAACAAACAGGTGGAGGAAGGTGGTGGATCTTGATTGATGACAGGTATGCTGGTAGCATGCTACACTGGTAGCATCCCAGTAGATCATTATCCTTGCTACCATTAAAGGAAAATTCCACTCTTGCATACTCCTAAAATTCATAATATTCTTGAATAATGTGCAATATAGTGTTAAAAACAATGGGTACATGTTTTAAAAAAGACTTAGGTTTACTACTCATGCAATGTTTGAAAATGTTTACAGCCAAAGCAGTTTTCTTTCTTTAAATTGCATAATTATTTTAACAGTTTTTGTCTTGAAATTTAGGTGTGCTGCAACTGTTGCTGCTGGAAATGTTTTTAACCTCAGCTGATACCAGGCAACAGCCCAGAATATTTTTAGGGAATAAAAAGACCCATCAAAACCTCCAGTAAGGGAGAACTACTTAAAAGCACTGATGAGTCATTTAGATTTACCTTTTTTTTTAAAAAAAATAAATAAATGTGGGATCTTTCACAATATAATAAAGAAAAAAAAGAAGTTTTTAATCTCAGAAACATGATGGTTTGAGAATAATGTTTTTAAGATAAACACAAGTACAGTCATTTCCACTATGACTGCTATGTGGCTCCGTGCTTTGGCCTCTAACAGTTTATATTTATGACTGTGAATTATCATTAAATAAATAGCAATGGAAAGACTTTAGGAAAATATCGAGACCAGGAAATAAATTTAAACTAATTAACAAGTTTTAAGGAATCAAATCTTGATCTAAAGCTGCCTGCTATTTTCTGCCACATGCCTGATGAGTGCAAAACTGCTTGGGGAAGTCTGATAATACATAAGTGGAATTTTTCCTTTGAAATGGAAGACTTATGAGCTAAAGGGATGCTATCAGGCTCAAAGAGATACTTGGAAAAATACAGATATGGAGGTGCTCATACTCATTTTGGGCTGGTGTGGTCGAGTCTGTGCACGGGGCATTAGGAACATCCTTGGTCGGGCCGTCTACTTGTGAGTCCTTATTCTGGGTGCTGTCAGGGGCTTTGACTGAGTCCCGCTGACTCTGTGGCCCATCAGCATTAGCAGAGGGTGGGCTGACTAGCTCTGATACAAGGGGTGTTGGGTCGGAAGATGCGGCAACTTTAGGGGTGTCGCTCAGGTCAACCAGAGGTCCAACATCAGGTTGGGGGTTAGATTTATGCGAATTGGCTGTAGGGCTGTTTTTAGGGTGAGACTTGGCATGGGCCACTTGGGTTGGGCTGGAGGTGTTGGTTGTTAGTGTGGTTCTCTCACTAGCAGGACTGCTTTGTGCCGTGCTAAAGCTCTCAGTAACTGAGTTAGCAGCTGTGGAGGACAGCAGATTTACCACCATCGGCGTGGTGTCTGCAGCAGCAGGCCTGTTTTGTGGGGAGAAGTGGGAAAAACAAGGTAGGAGAGGGAAAGATAGGGAGTTGGCACAGGGGAGGAAGCAGAGGGCAGAAAAGTGAGGGAATCAAGGACAACAAGGAAAATAAAAGAGGTAAAAGGAGAGTGCACGTCGGGGGATAAACAAAGCAGATTAGGTTTCTATTGTGCTGCAGTAAAAAAAAAAAAGAGACTACACAATCAAAATGTTAGCAACAAAATATTTGTAAGGGGAAAACATAAAACAATCCAACAATAAACTATAAAGGGAATGGAGGGAGTTTCAGGATTAAGATGCTTGGATGTCTTTCACAAGCAGTTTTCCCAGCAGAAGGCGGTGTTTGTTCTTGCTTTGAATGTGTCTGAATGATTTATGCACCTTGGCAAACTCACTCAGAAGGAAATTCGACAGCGCTCGGCTTTGAAATGAGACGACTGAAGTTTCAACGACAATGTACTGTGATAATTGTTAAGTTGGTTGCTGCGCTTGTTGCTTCTTGTTGCAAAAATAACATTTGAATGGTTTGAAATTGTGCCAAAAAAAGGAAGTCAAGCAAATGTATTACTTTCAATATAAAATGGCAAAATCTGGAAAGTCTTAGTTAAGAGATGACCCAAAAATGCAGCGCCCTACAGCCTGCATCATGGTTCTGTGGCCGTGCATATAGACCAGCACTTGCAGAATCATTTCTATTGAGTGTTCACCGTAGGCAGTTAAGTGTGATGCGTCATACATGGTCATACATACTGTATAGACAGCGGGACATTTTAGCCTTGCATAAAAATGCTTACAGTGTAAATTACCAGCACTGCTCTGTGGTATGTATAACAGTCCTTACAAGAGAACTGGGTCAATATTTGAATGAAAGCTGGGCCGGACCAACATTATATTTGTAAAATGTTTCTGCTCAGTGCAAACCAATGATTTGCTTAATCTCTCTGTACTCTTGACACTCACTCAGGTTCTGTCAATGGCGTGGTCTCGTTGGGCTCAGTGGCACCTCCTCCTTCTTGGTTTGGAGTGTTTTCTTCCTCTGTTCTCACTTCAACAATAGGCTCCTTACACTCATCTTTGCTGTTATCCAAAGGAAATATTGTTACCAGGGTAATGAATTAAGTGCACTTATCTAGGCGTGTTATTTTTCAACCCTACAAAGAGAAAAATCTGGCAGTAACAATGTCAAATGAACAGGTTAATTTTAGTCAACTAAAACATACAAAAACCCGTCAAACGCACTCACCCTATCATCCTCTTTGATCATCTTCCACCTGCACTGACCTGTAAGCTCTGATTGGTGGTTTTCCCTGAGGCCTTGTGTTATCATCACACTGCTCTCTGATTGTGCTGAGCTGTGTGCATTGCTGGGACTGACCTGTTTAAACGCAGGGTGCTAAATAACGCTATAACTCTCACAATGCACTTTCACTAAATTTGTTTTGTCAGAGCTGAAATATTTATTTGTTGCATTCGGAGCTGGCGAGATGACGGACAGTTCGACGCATAGAACAAAATGTTTGATCAAACACAGGCGAACATGCAGTAACTGCATTTCAGCACCATTAAATATTTACAGTTGGTGCTGAATAATTGAGGGAATTTCCCTAAGGATAAAATATAAAGATTTGCCTGCTTTCACTTTAGCTCAGCACCTTGGGAATTTGCTCTTTTGTCTCGAACTCGTGGGCAAAGACTTAAAAACATGTTTTTAGTGTGTACTTACATACATCTACCCAGGAATCAATGGAGTCTAATAAGCCCTCATACAGGGAGTGCAGAATTATTAGGCAAATGAGTATTTTGTCCACATCATCCTCTTCATGCATGTTGTCTTACTCCAAGCTGTATAGGCTCGAAAGCCTACTACCAATTAAGCATATTAGGTGATGTGCATCTCTGTAATGAGAAGGGGTGTGGTCTAATGACATCAACACCCTATATCAGGTGTGCATAATTATTAGGCAACGTCCTTTCCTTTGGCAAAATGGGTCAAAAGAAGGACTTGACAGGCTCAGAAAAGTCAAAAATAGTGAGATATCTTGCAGAGGGATGCAGCAGTCTCAAAATTGCAAAGCTTCTGAAGCGTGATCATCGAACAATCAAGCGTTTCATTCAAAATAGTCAACAGGGTCGCAAGAAGCGTGTGGAAAAACCAAGGTGCAAAATAACTGCCCATGAACTGAGAAAAGTCAAGCGTGCAGCTGCCAAGATGCCACTTGCCACCAGTTTGGCCATATTTCAGAGCTGCAACATCACTGGAGTGCCCAAAAGCACAAGGTGTGCAATACTCAGAGACATGGCCAAGGTAAGAAAGGCTGAAAGACGACCACCACTGAACAAGACACACAAGCTGAAACGTCAAGACTGGGCCAAGAAATATCTCAAGACTGGTTTTTCTAAGGTTTTATGGACTGATGAAATGAGAGTGAGTCTTGATGGGCCAGATGGATGGGCCCGTGGCTGGATTGGTAAAGGGCAGAGAGCTCCAGTCCGACTCAGACGCCAGCAAGGTGGAGGTGGAGTCTGTTGGCTGGTATCACAAGATGAGCTGCCTTTTCGGGTTGAGGATGGAGTCAAGCTCAACTCCCAGTCCTACTGCCAGTTTCTGGAAGACACCTTCTTCAAGCAGTGGTACAGGAAGAAGTCTGCATCCTTCAAGAAAAACATGATTTTCATGCAGGACAATGCTCCATCACACACGTCCAAGTACTCCACAGCGTGGCTGGCAAGAAAGGGTATAAAAGAAGAAAAACTAATGACATGGCCTCCTTGTTCACCTGATCTGAACCCCATTGAGAACCTGTGGTCCATCATCAAATGTGAGATTTACAAGGAGGGAAAACAGTACACCTCTCTGAACAGTGTCTGGGAGGCTGTGGTTGCTGCTGCACGCAATGTTGATGGTGAACAGATCAAAACACTGACAGAATCCATGGATGGCAGGCTTTTGAGTGTCCTTGCAAAGAAAGGTGGCTATATTGGTCGCTGATTTGTTTTTGTTTTGTTTTTGAATGTCAGAAATGTATATTTGTGAATGTGGAGATGTTATATTGGTTTCACTGTCACAAAATTCAGCTTTGATATTAATGAGTTTTTTGGGTTCATTGAGAACATGGTTGTTGTTCAATAATAAAATTATTCCTCAAAAATACAACTTGCCTAATAATTCTGCACTCCCTGTACTAACAGCTCTTTTAATAACCTGGTCGCAAAATAAAACTATTATTTCAGATTTGTATAAGTTAAAAAAAGAAATTTGGCTGACTTAAACAAGTAGTTTCAGTCTGCTTAGTTAGATTAAACCAATGTCTTTTCATCGTAGTACATCAGATACTGTTGTTCTGTCAGATACTGCTGGCCTCACAGAAATACACATTAGTGGTGCTTTAGGATGGGTGTTTAGTGCACTGGTTAACAATCCAGCTGTTAAAGAGTGATAAAATCTACAAGTTTCTCAGCTCTGAGACATGTCCTGCTTTGTTTTGCCTTGTTATCACTCCATTACTGGTTTCTTTTGTAACTCACATTTTATTGTGCTTTCACCTGCTGATTCCATTTCAGTTTAATACTTGCTGGGTAAGGTTTAGGACCCAAAACTACTAAAACATAGAGTTATTCTGCTCCTTAATAAAATGAATCCTTCACCCTGAAAAAACAATAGTCGAGGTTTTTTTTTTTAACAGGCATCCACGTGTGATTGGAACAGAGACTTTTCTTATCTTTGCTGTAACCAGGTGGACTTGGCACTGAAGCCAGTGGTTTACCTTGTGAAGAGAAAATGCCAGTAATGCCGACCAAAGTAAAGTGAGCTGAATAAGCACACCTTTACTGGCTTTATTCTAAAGTTATATAAATAATAAGCATTGATTTGTATTTAAAGATAACTTTAAGCCCTTTAAGTATTTATTCTGTTTTTTAGCTCTGCCTTCTTCTCAGTCAGCTCCTGAGAAATATGTTGATATTTGCTGCAAGTCCAACAGCTACACTCTAACTTAGGTTCTCTGATGATGGGTATTTTTGAAAATGTGCTAATTCTCTGTAGGCACACCACAAATAATCTGTGTTCCAGTCAAAAGATGACGCTTGCTTACGTGAATGCCGCCTTGCCCTCCTCGATGTCCTTGCTCTTTGCGCCTGGGCCAGCTTTCCCACAGAAGTTAACAGCAATGCACATGAGGAGCCCGCACTTGTTGAGGAAATAGCAGGTGACATCCACGCCCACCAGCAGCAGGAAAAAGACAACAATAAGGATGCCTACGATGGCCCCGGTGCCCATGCCTGAGCCACCACCCATGGCGTCTGAAGGGACAAAGACAGGTAGAGGGGATATACAAGCAAAACAGGCAGAAGAGGAGAAGAGGGTTCAAATATAGAGAAGAGGGGATGGGAAGGAAGTTAGAAAGAGAGAGGGAGAGAGAGATGATGAGGAATGCAATCAGGCTTTTAATACAGTGCTTCAGGTTTCAGTCAAAACCTCAGATGTGTGTCGCTCTTTTCAGAGGAAAGCTGAAATGGTGCAAGAGGGACCAACATAATTTCTAACAACTTTATATCTGTTCTTGACATCCCCGGTGGCCGAAACACTATGTTCAATTTCATACAGAATCACAGAAATTGCAAAGACAAAAACAAATCAAAACAAATGCAAACAAACAAAACTATCGGTAGCCTTTCGAGGGCTTCTAGGCATATTCTTGTTCTTGTCACTAGGCGTTTCATAATAGGCTTGTAACACATTTATAGACATTTGTGGACTATTAATATTTGTGCCTGAGGTGTCAATATGGCACCATTAAATATAAACACTACATTGCATACATATTTTACAATAAGAAAAAATGCCTCAAAAACTGCATGAGGAGCAAATAAATTGCAATGACAGTCTACTAGGATATATTACAACACAGGAAAACAATGTTGTAGCAGAATATTCTATGTGTACTCATAATTTTAGCAATTCACATTTTTTAAACACCCGCCCAATCATTTTACCAGTTTCAATCAAACTTTCTTTGGAAATGTGAAGGTTATGAAGGGTTACCTGAGCAGCATGTGTGAGCAGCCAACACATTTCTAATTCAGCTCTGAAGGCAGAGTACAAATACAAGTCATTTTCTCCTACAGATTATTTGAATAAACAAACGCGCATGCAGATTATAGAGAGAATGGTATAAAGATGGATTTTGGAGGTCAAGGCCAGCTTAGACAGCTACATTTACTACCTTTTTTATCATTGTGTGCAACCTGCTGCAAAAAGCACGGAGCATGCATTGTTGTAGTGACCTCAGTCTGTGAATTAGCGCATCACACCTTTTATTAATGCTTAATTAATAATTAACAAATTGATTGACATTTTATGTAAATTGCAATTGTTTCAGAGATTCAACTTAGAGCCACAGAATTCATGCCAATGCAACTTCACTGCACACTATGACTTACTGGATTTCAACGTTCTTCTGGAAGAAACAATAGATCTGATTGATAACAGCAACAGAATAATGGAGAAACTGTATAATTGTTAAGAAAAGAATAAACTGTAATGCTTTGGATAAATAAAAGAATAAAGAATAAAAGGGATTCACTACTCCACTGAAAAAATGTGGATAAGTTAAACTAACAGAAAAAAACAGAAAAGACAAAATAATAATTTAAAAAAAACCACATATTTCCTTGACTGAGGTAATCACAGTAAGCAGGATTCATGGTAACCTGGTATAACAAGATTTCTTGTAATAGTCAGTGGACACTTAAAGACATAAAGACAGGCCTTCCTCAACTCGCATTTGGCTTCTTACTGAGACTGTGAGAAACAAAAAGCAATCTCCGCTTGTTCATCCAATGAACTTAATGTTGTTCAACGGAAACACAACATTCAGGTGTATCTGAGCTCAGACCTATTTCTACTTTATCATCAGAAAGGGGTGGTATTTATCATTTTTGCAGCCCACTTCTAGTCTTATGGGTCAGTCACACATTGGAGTGAGCTGTAAGGGAGCTTGGTGTTGCAAAACACTTGTAGTTGCCTGGTGATTCTGAGACAGGTCACCTGGCAACGTGTCTCCAAACAATCTTGGTCTGGCCTGGAGTGTCTGCAGTCACTCTCAGACAGACAAGGAAAAATTTGCAAATAACCGCAGTCTAATTTATAAATGCAGACAGATTACAAACATGTTGTACTTAATCTGAGTCAGTCTGCTCCAGTGAATGAACCTCGTCTCCCATGTGTCTGTTAGCAGGAGGAGACTCGACTCAGCTGGTTGTATTCTGGTTCTATTCCTAAAGCAAGGCTGCGAGCACCTACACAGCTACATCACTATTTGTTCAGACGTTTCTGAACTTGTGTTTCAAATCTCTATCGTCTTAGCTTGACTTTGAATCTAAGTAGTTCGTTTGAAATTATGTTAAATTAAATTTCTGTTCACGCAGATCATTTTTGCTGACTTGTTAAAAATATAATTACTGTGTTATGACAGCTTGCATGTAATTGCCAACTTGACCCCACTGACAAACCTGATAACAGACTCACTCCATCTTATTGCCATTTTAAAGTTGTCACGATGCACTAAAGCTACTGTGAAGATGACAGCTGACTGTGAGCGGTCGCGGACCCCATCCTCCGTCCTTGAAGCAACGATTTCAAAGGCAACAAAATCACAAATTCCTTGCACACAGTCTCCAGCCACGGTTTTCCCCAGGGTGACTGTAGCCTTACTGACCACTACAAGTGACATTCACCCATTCACACCGAAGTTTAGTGAAAGCCTCACAACCATACCTGAGGCAAATTTCAAATGAACAACCTCTGGACTGGAGAACCTGGAAAAAAATCTGATAACATCAGAACATCCTGTATTGGCTCCATGTATTAACACAATGTTTCCCAATCAAGGCTTGCATTTAATATGAAGATGATTTAAAATCGAAGCTGAAAAGATGTTTGTTTGTGTTCAGCGTGTAAAGTCAGAATTATAGTTCCAACCCTGTTGTGTTTGTTATTATGGTATCTACCATGCCAGTAGGCAATCAAATTGGAAGACTTTCAGTTAAATTAAAGCCTCTCTTACATGTATCAATTTGGCTCTGCTTCAGGCAGTAAAGACTGCTGTAATGGCTCGCCAGGGTCTGATAAGGATCAAGGGCTCATCAAAGTGTCTGAGGAGAATGTGAGCGCTGTGCAATTTGAGGACCATCTTTATGTTAACTGTTTCTACCCTCAGCCTTGGATATGGGAAAAAGGGAAAGGATCAGCCAGTGACAAATATGTTCTGCAGTCGTGATTCACTGGAACTACGGAACGAACCCCTATTTATAATGGCCTCTGCACAGCCTGCAGCGTATTCTAAAAGCTTAAAGTATAAATAAATGACAGCAGCGTTACCACTGTAAGGAAGCACTGTGAGCTGCGCTTTCAGTTTTCTGCCCATTTTGTGGTTTCACACATTCCCTACTCTTTAGATAAAAGGCCAAATATAGATAATGTACTGCCACATCAGTATACACTAGTTACTCCAGCAAAACAGACTTTGATCTGAAGTAACCACAACGAACGTGACGATTTAGTGTCACTTCCATTAAATCCATGTGCACTGGCGTCTAAAACTGTCATTTTGTACAGCTGAGTAATCACATGGGTGGGGGATATATATATATATATATATATATAAGGGAAGCCAATGTCTTTTTCAAATGGAGCAAAGCAGTAACTGCCACACTGAAGTATCATACTTAAATATGTGTGACAGGTAGAGAGCGAGCAGAACTGTTAACACGCTCTTTACAAAAATTCACTGGATCTTAAACCACATATATGTCATTTGGGGTAACCAATTTACTCGTATGCAACCCTGCAACGAATAACTGCCATGCTAATCTTTGACTATGAACATACAGCTTTACTTTATGAGATGTCATAGTATGACATCACACTTTCTGACAGTGATTTAAATTGCCTACAGAGTGATGAACGCTCATAACGAAGATGAAACCTCATTGGGCCAGTTTATGCCACTAATATGTCAAATGTAAGTATTTTATAAAAGCACCGTGTAAATGTGCCATTAAAAGGAGACTGAAACACATAAATTAGACCAAATGAAAGCTCCAATTCTCTTGGCCTTTGAAGTAGAGACAATTGTTGACACACATAACACTCTTTAAATGCTGACGGGAGCACACCCCATGGACAGCTATGCTGCAGACTTTGCAGGAAAAAAACATTTTATGCCTCTTAAAGATGTTATGTTTGTGCTTACTGCACTCTGATGCATTCACAAGTGAAAGCACTGCCCTGGGCCAACTGAGACGTTTAATTCAAATCCACTATCTTCCTCTTTCTGGCTGGCCCGGTATGTAAACCTTCAATTTCTTTGATGGTTGTGATGAAAATAGCAAGAACATGCCAGAGTTCTGCGTACTTATAGGTGACTACAGTGGTGCAGAAAACACTTGTTTTTTTCTCTGCCCATTGCCTCATTTGCATTTTAACAGGCACAATAAATCATGTACCATGTATTCAGTGCTGAGGGGGGGTTTCTTACCGAGTGCTCTCACTGAGGGAGAAAGCACAAATCTACCTGTCAGGGTGGACTACACAAACATTTCTCTTTACGGGCTTGTCGGGTACAGTACTGAGACAGGTTTCCAGACGACTGCTGATAAACAGACCGCATGTGATAAAATATTTCACTACACACATTTCTGAGAAATCAATAAGACTGCCAGATATGTGCAGTTGTACCCTGATGAAACACCTTTATATCAGGAGTTAGATTTGACTCCAACCGTGCAACTCTGCCCGTGGGTTGCAGTGTCTTTAAAAACTTGTGCTGTAAAACACACAGAAATGCAATAAAAAAAAAAAACTTCCAGCACTTGCTTTACATTTGATGGATTGGTTCAGCCACAAGTAAAACAGCCAAGTCTAAATAAAAAAAAAAATTTTTTTAGAGTAGAAATACAGTTTAAGACATTTTAACAACATTTATTTCACCAGAGGGTCCACATACTAAATAGTCTCAGAACAGTTTGTGTTTGAGATTCAGTGGAATGCTGAACATTGCAGTGATTAAAATAACCATATGCATGCAACAGACTGTAGAAAAGCAAACACAGAGTCCCCTCTCATCTGTAAAGGAAGAAGCCCAGTTGAGGACAAATTTGTTTATACTGTAGACGGGGAATACAGACTGTCTGACTGAGGTGTAAAAATGTGTAAGCTGTCACCGTTTTTCAACCAGCACTACAACTGTATGTAACAACTGTCATTACAATTGTTCATACAACACCATCACAGACTCCCC